GAGGCCACGCTCAGCGCTGGGCGCAGGGGGATGGGAGCTCGTTAGCGGCGCCGTGTCTCTCTTAATCAGGAGGCGGGTGCTGCTTCTCCTTGGGTCCGGGGACGGGGCGAGTGATGGAAGTCGCCGCGGGGACGCACCCGAGCGGGGAGAGAGGATGGGGCTAGGGGGGTTTGAAAGGGGTCCGTGCTAGGGAGAGGAGGGTGGTATTTAGGCCCCCCCAGCAGGGCGAGATGTTGCAGAACAGACAAATCGAGAAGATACCCAGGGAAAGCCCCCTGGGGGGAAGCCCCCGAGCAATGCCCAGCCTTGGAGCTTGCAAAGCCAGGCGGCACAGCCCACCGCAGGAGCGGTGGGGAGGGGGGATGCGGCGATCTCCTCCAGCTCTGACCGTCTTGATACTGATGTGGTGCAAAAAAACTACATTTCCCAGTTTCCCTTGCAGCCCAGGGGAATAAGCAATTGGAAGATTTAAATAGACCAGGCTAGAAGCAACCAACCTTTGGCACGAAGCTTTTCCCTCCTCTTCTGGCACAGCCCACCGCAGGAGCGGTGGGGAGGGGGGATGCGGCGATCTCCTCCAGCTCTGACCGTCTTGATACTGATGTGGTGCAAAAAAACTACATTTCCCAGTTTCCCTTGCAGCCCAGGGGAATAAGCAATTGGAAGATTTAAATAGACCAGGCTAGAAGCAACCAACCTTTGGCACGAAGCTTTTCCCTCCTCTTCTTCCAATCTATTGGCTGGCTAACCCTTTTCCCTCGGCCTGGAGTCGCCGGCGACGTCCTGGCACTGGAGTGGCTGCCAAGGCTGGCATTAATTTTCCTTCCAAGCTCGCTAGGCCCATGAAGTAAACAGCCATGTGCATTCCTTACTCTATATTTAACAGCTGCAGTCTGTGCTGGGGGCAACTGCACCAGAGGGGGACCTTTGTGGCTTCCCCAATTCACGGCTCGTGAGGGAGTGGGGAAGCTTTCCGCAGGGAGAAGAGGGATTTCTCTCCGTCCCGGTATTTGCAAAGCAGGTTGCGTTACAGACTGCAATGCCGGCATCCCAGCCGCGGTCCAGGGCAAGAGACAGGAACAATGTCCTCAACAGGGCTGAGTTCCTCTCCCTGAATCAGCCCTTGAAGGGGAACCAGGAGAGCAGGAGCTCCGGCAGAAAGCAGAGCAGCCAGGCCGGGGCAGCCGGTGCCCAGAACAGCAGCCCCAAGGAGCGGAGGCAGTCGCAGCAGCTGCCCGAAGAGGACTGCATGCAGCTCAACCCTTCCTTCAAAGGCATCGCCTTCAACTCCCTGCTGGCCATCGACATCTGCATGTCCAAGAGGCTGGGGGTCTGTGCCAACAGGGCCTCCTCCTGGGGGGGTGCCCGCTCCATGATTAACCTCCTGGGGATAACGGGGCACGGGATCCCCTGGATCGCGGGCACCCTCATCTGCCTGGTGAAGAGCAGCACGCTGGCAGGCCAAGAGGTCCTCATGAACCTGCTGCTAGGTGAGTGGCAAACCTCCCTCCCCGCCGGGAAAGCCCAGCCCTGGTCACAAGGGACAGCGGCACCGAGGCTCCTCCTCTGACTGCTCCCAGCCACCGATGTGGTCAGGCAGCGGCGAGCGACCGTTAGGCTGAAAGCTGCACTTGCCGGCCGTCCCGGTCCTCGGTACCATGGGTGATGGATGTAGCAAAAAGTGGTCTAAGGGAGGTGGAGTAACCCTGGTAGCTGGTGACACTCACGGAGTAGGGGCAGGTCCCCGGTCCTGCACGAGGCAGGGTTGTCCAGTCAGACCAAGGAAGTGTCTGCGATGTGCAGGTGGATACCAGCAGCGATGTCTTTGATTTAATCTATGGTCATCTGCCTTGGTGGTTTGATAGCTGGGGAAAACGTAAAGATTTTAATCTTTGATATCTGGATCAATTTCTGAGGATATCCTTGAGAAAAAAAAAGATTTCCATGCCCTCGCCACCTCCTTGAACAGACCCTGGCTCCACGTCTCAGCCGCCACGTGATGGAGTCCCGTCTCCTTCCCTGCTATGGTTTGATCTCGCATCCTCCTTCCCGTGAGGACCTTTCTTGCTGCTGTCCCTGTTTCCACGCGCTAATTTGACCCAGAGGCCGTGCAGACGGGCTGGGATCTCTCTGGCTCTCCTGCTAGTCCTTTCTTGTGCGGTGGTCGTGTCCTTGTTTTGGAGGTTGAGACATGTTAAAGGTGGTGACTTCTGGGTTGAGCAGGGCCCATCCCAGCCGTGTGGACCGATGTCCCGCCAGTGACCAGGCTGAGCTCCAGGTCTGACTTGCCTTAGAACGTGGCCCCAACCCACCCTGGCCACATCTACCTGAGGACCTTGCTCTTCTCTTTCTTCTGCCTTCTGCATGGGGCCGTTATCATGTTTTTCCTCGTGACTCGTTACTATCCCATCTGACTGAGATCGGCCCTAGTGTTTTACCCTCCCCCAAAAAACAGCGATCAGACCTCCCGGGTTTGATTGGTAAGAGAAATCAAAAACATTGGGTTTAGGCTTTTGCTTCTCAGGAGGTCTTTTGGAGGGACGTAGGGACATTTCGTTTCAGAGGTACCTCAGGAAAGGGACGTCCTGTCTGCAGGGGCTGACTGTGATGCGATACAGGCTCTGCATCACAGTCCCAGGTTTGTCTTTTTTTCACAAGCTCATCCTTTGGAGAGGGTGAAGATTGCACTGAGCTGGCTTGAAAAGCACAGTGGTAGTTGCCTTTTCTCCCCTCTGCCTTTGAAAGAGACTCTCCTCGTACTGTGACATCTAATGAAGGGAGGCCATCACGGGGAAGAAGCCAGAATAGTATCGGTGTGATGCAGAGCCCGCCGACGTCAGCAGTCCTTCCAGGGGCTCCTCGGTGTGCTGGGTCAAGAGAAAAGAAGCTTCACTAAAAAGGGCACAAGGATGAAACAGTAGGTGACTAACATCAACCGGCACAGTTTCCAGATGTCTCTTGACACGAGAGCCTTTGACAGTCTTGGAGCCTGAAAACTGACCTCTTTGACTCCAAAATATTTGAGATCCTTATAAAGAGCTAATGCCACCTTTGGCCTAAAGACAAGAAAGGTTTTCTTGCTCTTCTGTTGCCGTGTGAAGAGGCCAAATGCAAAGCCACCTCCAGGCCACATTGAAACTTTGAGTATCAGGTGGTCGCTGGGAGGGCTCTGCCCTGCACCTCTACCTGCATCTCCGGGTCTCCTGAGCTCAAATGTGGTGCCTGGGGACAACTCGGGAGCCTTGCATCCTTGCCTAGACACACTACTGCCATCCCTCTTCCCTGCCTGCCAAGAAAGAAAATAGTTAAATTGCGTGAAGGACTAGTTCATAACGTGGCTTGACAGCTCCGTAGGTCTGGCAGCCTCCAAAGAGCTTTGCTTTGCCCTCCAAGCAGACAACACTGACTGGTGGGCCTGACCAAGGTGCCCTGAGCATCTCGTCAGAGCTTCCTCAGCAGGACTTGTGTCACCTCGCAGAGCAGATCTCTGCTGTGAGCGTGGCCTTGGTTCGATATTTAAGATTGCAAAATATTGCAAATATCAGAGTAGCCACTGCCATCATACCTGCGTTGCGGATGGAGGAAGGAGTCTGGCTGGGGAGCATGGGGCTGGTGGACCTAGACAGATCCCATCCGAAGCGGGGTCTCCTGAGTAAATAGGAAGGGTAGGGCACGACTGCCGCATCTGGCATCCTGGGTCCCTCTCGCGGCTGTTTTCCCGTGGATCAAACCCATCAGGATCACCCACCTACCCAGGTGTAAAGCCCTCCTGGGTAGGGACAGGTCAAAGGGAAGGGAACCTTCTGGTTCTTCCCTGGTCTCCTGGGAAGAGGGAAGCAGGGAAGTTGGGGTTGTCTATGGTACCCCTCCCCGGCTCGCCTCCCTTCCCCCTGCTCGCAGAGAGTTTGATACATCAAGCAGAATTTCTGATGCAGTCTCTGGGCAGGGAGCCAGCCCATCACAGAGCACTTGTTTGGGATTTGCAATCAGGCTTTCAAGGCGAGGAGAGAGGAGACTGCTGAAATGGGACCGGGAACCTGGCAGAAGCACCACTGCAGATGGAGGGGGGGCACTCGCGCCTGAGCAGCTCTTGGCAGGAGCTTTGCCAACACATGCGGGAGCATTTAGGGTGAGGGGTTCTGACCCTGGAATGCTCCAGCCATCCCAACTGCAGATGTTGATTAGCCACCCCAAGCAATGTTTTCCCTCCATGTTTGTCATCTGTGATGGAATTTATTGATTCTCTTCATCGTAATCTTTTCCAGCAAATGCCAAACAGCCAGAGAAGCACGCTCACAGCCTGTTACTAAAAAGATGGAAGAAATCAGATAGCTGTGCCCACTATAAAAATCCCTCTGCCAGAATGTGCTTTCAGGAAGACTATCTCAGCATTGCCAACCCTGGCTGTTGAAGAGTCAGGAAGAAATCCTGCATCCCCCAGCCAAATCGAGAAAATTGTAACTCGAGAAACCCCCCGATTTTAGCGTTCATTTTATTTGTCTGCTGGTGTTGGAACTTTTAGGACCATTGAAGCTTTTCTCTGCAGTCACAAGGATTTCATGAAAACTGAGGTGCTCATTTGAACCTTGCAGTCGGGCTTTTTTGGGGAAAACAGTAAAAAAAACTTTCTCTAAAATTCCCAGATCCGCTCCAGAACCAGACAGAAACTCCATTAAACCCTGAGGGAAGCAGTACCTCAGTTTCTGGTTCTGGTCCATCTGGTGAGGATGTGGATCCAAATTTAGTGATTCATTGACTGCAGAGCCAGCAAAGAACATTTGGATCATTGATCTAACCCACGGCAAAATACAGGCTGTAGCACATCCCTTAATTTATTCCCGTTCAATTTGTTAAGGGAAAAAACCCAAACACTCAATCTGATGTAGAGTTACAAGCGAGGGTGAACTTGTCAGAACCATTTCTGTATTACTGCAGTGGTAGGTAGTCTCACAAGCGCCTTGCTTTTAGTTTGACTCTCCTCTTCCCTCCATGGCATCTGCATATCCTTGTCGCTTCGGCTGAACAGCTCTTTTAGCCAACATCTCTTCTGCCTTTTGATATTCTGGATAGTGCTCAAGTCGTTTCTTCACCTCCTATTTATTAAGCTGAACAGATTGATCTCGTTAGCCTGATGATCTTTCCCAGGTCCAGGCACCTTCTTAGTGAGATGGGGATGGAATATGGCCATCTACCCAAAGTGGTTGCTTTGGTGAAGTCCATCTGTTGTGTTTAGAGCCAAACTGCCACCTTGTTCAGTTATCTGCAGTCCAGCCGTGTGCCTTTGCTGTCGGAGGGTATCTGCTTGATTAATCCCTGCCCACAAAATACGTATTTGTGCTCGGTTTGAAATACCAGACATTCACTGGGTCTGCTTTGGTCACGGCTTTCTAAAATATGTATTCAGTCTAGGAGAAGAGAAAGCCCTGGTCTTCCCTTTGCCTGCTGCATCCCCTGTGTCCAGCTGCTGTCTCAGTGACACAGGTCCCAGTCCCCATCCATCACCAGCTGGCTCTGCCTCCCGCTTCTGAGGGGCGGGTTGGCTCTTTGGTGCTGTCACTAAGCATTTATCGCCATCAAGTAAAGCATTGCCGCAGGGCGTGGACGTATCATCGCGAGCAGCGCGGCAGGCTGAGGATGGGGGGCTAGCCACAGGAGGAACGGGGGGGCCCAGGGTCACTTCTCCACTCCTGAAGGTCAGCAAGAAGGCAGTTCTTGCTCTCTCCAGCCTTCTCCCTGAGCACTGACCTAGCTTTAGTCTCACCAGGAACCAAACCGTGATATTCTGGGGCACAGTCACCTGCAGCGCTGTGACTTTATCCTGAGCCGTATATATATCTATTTTAAATATATATAAATACATAGATGTGGCCAGGACTCTGCAGAACCCTGGCAGCTTCCAAGCAAGACCAAACTGGCAGGCAAGTGGTGGTTTAGGAAGGGCCCCTCGAGACCCCGCTGGCCCTGCTCTAACAATTCGGAGGTGCTTCAGGCGTTGCCATGCTTTCCTTTGGACTCCGTGCGGTGAAAATGCAGAGAGTACAGCCCGTTGCTGGTTAAGGTCACCGGGTAGATTAAATGCCCAGGCAGCACAGACAAGCTCATCCTGTCGAGCCTGGGGGCTCGGCCGCCCAGCGCCAGCAGAGAGGCCGGGGAGCTGCACAGCAGATGGGTCGGTCCGCACGCAGCAGAGCTTGCTAAGCCGAGAGCCCCAGAGGTGGTCGGGGGCCAGATGTGTCTATTTTTTCCCCTTTCATTTTCCCACTGCCAGGCTGGGGATTTTCTGAGCTAGACAGGGCAGATGCCGTTTCGGCAGGGAAGGGGAGAGCAGCCTGGCAGCTGGCGCCCTGCGTGAACCATCCCCTCCCTGTAAAACCTGGCACGTGGAGGAGGTCCAGCCCCTGTCCTGCTCCCCTCCCAGCCCCGCCAGTGCCCGCTGAGATCTCAGCAGGTTTGCAGCACATCTGCCCACAGAGGTGGAAACGTTTAAATG